CAGAAAGGAAATCTGTCGCCTTTACCTGGTCTGGCCTCCGTGGGACTCCAGCCCAACCCGTGGTTAACTCTTTACTGCCCTTAAGGAACTTGGGGCTGGGTGATTAATACTAGTTTAGCTCATATCCTGTAAGTGACTTCTAAAAATACAAATGCCACTGACAATGCCAAATATTGACTATCCTCCGGACTAATATTTATTGAAACCATCACTTCTTAAATACATACGAAGAGAAGACCAACACTACACAGGCAGTTCTGTAGATTATATCTTACTTCTCAGTCACCGTTCTCAAGCAGATTGGCTGCCATGGATATGGATATGGATATAGATAGCACTGGCACAGACTGTACTCCCCAACTCAAGCAAGTGGCCTTGGGACTGGATCTTTGCTTGAGCAGAGAATTTTCCGCACGATGGAAGGTCAAATATATTCAATTTACTCCATCATTGATCGAAGATCTAACCTTGAATTATACAATCACATGCCTAGTGGATTTTCCAATGTTTTGATTTTTTTCCACGTTTGATTAGATTTATCATTGTACCGAGATATCGTGAAAAGTATTGTTTGCGTGCCAACCAGACAATTCATACCTTACATGAGTACATCAGGGTAATAGAACAAAGGCAGAATATAGTGTTACAGCTACAGAAAAGCTACACAGAAAGTTCAACTCTCACATGTGAGGGGGCCCATTCATAAATCTGATAACAGCAGGGAAGGAGCTGTTCTTGAATCTGTTGGTACGTGAATTCAAACTTTTGTATCTTCTGCCCGATAAAAGAGAGTGGGAGAGAGTAGAGCCAGGATGGAAGGGGTCTTTCATGAAGTTGGCTGCTTCCCCAAGGCAGTCAGAAGCATAGACAGAGTCAATGGATAGAAGGTTGGTTTTTGTGATGGACTGGGCTGTGTTCAAAACTCTCTCATTTCTTGCGGTCTTAGGCAGAGCAGTTGCCACACATGCTGTAATGTGCCCAGATAGAATGCCATAAACAGCCATAAAATGGAACGCTATTAAACAGGCTTCTGGCTACCACTGGACAAAATTAATAAAAAAGGAAATGAAGAAAGAAACACTAGATGCCACCGTAAGGAAAGCCAGAAGGTGCTGGAACTCAAGAGACTGCCAGAGGAGACAGTACCACATTGGGAAGGTACAAAAAGGAATCTAATGTGTTGTGCCATGACATTTTTGATAGTGACTTCCTCCTATCAGGTCTACTCCAATGGGATCCCTGCCACCAAAAGGAAGTGGGGAAGCAACGACCTAGTGGTATTATCGCTGGAGATTGCATTCATTCAACCTAATCTCATTATAAAGTTTCCACATGATGTCAGGATAGTGGAAGAATCAAGTATTACATTTAAATTGGGAAATAAATAATCAGAAAAATAGCATCTACTATCTTAAATTTAAACCTGAAGAGGGAGAACAATATCATTAAGTACTTTCTCTTGACGCATTTACTTCTAACTAGTCTCAATAAAAGGAAACACAGAAAGAGATTTGACTAAGGGACATAAATAAGAATGAACTAATAAATGCAATTACTCTTGGGGCTGGCAAATATGTCAAATCCAAACCAAGGAAGCTCATTACTTCTCAATAACGGGCAAAGGCCCTAACTAGTGAAAGTTAATTAGAGAAATGAATCGTCTCCAAGTTTACTGCTTCCTAATTGCATGCATTGTAAACCAACTCGCTGCGAAGTTAGAATATTGCTTCCGTATATCTGGCAGGGTTTATCTTAATCACAAACTGAGCAGGCTACAAATACAGCAACTGTAAACCAATATGCAGCCTCTCCAATGCAGGCCACAGCATCTCCCGTTCACAATGTTCTGCCATCTACATCAGAACTCCCTATCCAACAGCACCCTACATATACCTACATCACATGCACTGCAAAACCACAAAGACGTGGTGCACCAACAAATTTGTAAGTCCAATAATAAATTGGAAGTAAATGCCATACTTGCATCCCATTAAGATTATTTCTAAACAAGCAGTCATTGAACCTAACAGACGCACTGTATCTGATGTCTATCCATAATTGTCCTATTACGAAATTCTTACCCACCTCCCAACATCAAATTGGGCAGCACAGTGGCTCAGTGGTTAGCACTGCTGCCTCACAGCAAGAGGGACCCCTGGATTTGATTCCAGCCTCGGGAAAATGTCTGTGTGGAGTTTGCATGTTCTCCCCTTGTCTGCGTGGGCTTCTTCTGGGTACTCCAGTTTCCTCCCACAGTCCAAAGACGTGCAGAGTAAGTGGATTGGCCAATACTAAATTGCACGTAGTGTCCTGAGGTGTGCAGGCTGGGTGGATTAGCTGTGGGAAATACAGGGTTACAGGAATAGGGTGGGGGATGCTCGTTGGAGGGTCGGTGTGTACTCAATGGGTTGAATGGCCTGTTTCCACACTGTGGGGATTCTATGATTCTAAAATCTTTCCCTACTTCTATAAAAAACGCTAATATCTACTTGATGCTCAGTTCTCCCTCATTCTACTCATTTCCCCTCATTGTATAATCAGTAAAACAAGATTTGTTACCATGTCTCTAACTGCACAAGACCTCAGTGTTGTATGTAGCACTCTTTCTCTCCAGAGAGCCCTTCCTCCTCTAACAGTTATCAGATCTAAAACCCCAGACTGACATTACCAGTTCACTAATTCCTGGTTTATCTGGGCTTCACGTGGACTATTTTCAATTTTCAAGGAGCCTTGAATTTGGAATTGGGCCTACACCTCGGTTTTTACTCATTAAAAACCCTTCATCTGACACAGGAGCAGCACCCCGAAAGCTTGTGAATTTAAATAAACCTGTTGGACTATAACCTGATTTTGTGTGACTTCTGACTTTGACCACTCCAGTCGAACTCCAGCTTCTCCACTGCATTAAAAAGCCTGTCAGTTAAGTTAATGCAGAACAGATTAAGGGGAGCAGAATTCACACCAGACAAACTTTTGCTGCAAGATTTCTAATGAAGATTACAGGGGCAGGCCATTCAGATCCTCCATTTATATGGCCAGGTTCTATGTTGCTTGATACCTTTATCCAATAAACATGTATCAAGTCCAGTCTTGAGAACTCCTATCGATGTTCTGCATCCACAGCTTTTTGGTGGAGTTCTAGACGTCTGTTACCTGTTACTGTAGAAGAAAACTTCCTGCTTTCTATCATAAATGGCCTAACTCTAAACTTAAAGGTCACTCCACCTGGTTCTGGATTCTCCCCAGCAGAGGAAGTAGTTCTTCTGCATTGACCAAACTCTTTTAGGATTTGAGTGGGACGAGATGCTCTCTCAATTGTTTGTGTCTTTTCCCATCTCCTTTCAGAGGATAGAACCATGGGCTTCCATTAGATCAGTCACGTTTATGAACAAAGTCATGCAGTGGTTTGCCATCACCTCTTGTAGGGTGGCTGACAAGGGGACTCTTCCATGCTAACCACCTCCCCTCAGTGATAGTGGCAGGATTTACAGGCTGACAATTAATTTGTTTAGCCTTCGATGACTGACAGCTCCTGGCCCAGAGATAGAGGCACTATCTTCTACATCATGGGACATTGCGTTACATTATCAGTTCTCAAACTGTGGTTCTGATCCTTACATCCAGGTTATGGAGCTGTGACAAGAAATTAAATTGGCAAGTTGTATATTTCATATGGATTACGAAGATGTAAAGTTAATCGTGTCCAATTCTCTCTTACACATTTGGATCACTGACATTGAAATATAGAAAACAGCAGGAGTAGGCCATTCGGCCTTGCGACCCTGCATCACCATTCATGCAATCTCAGTATCCCATTCCTGCCCTCTCCCCACTCCCCTTGATCCCTTTAGCCGCAAGGGCCATGTCCAGCTTCCTTTGAATATACCTAGTGGACCGTCCCCAACGGCTTCCTGTGGGAGAGAATTCCACAGGTTCACAACTCTCTGAGTGAAGAAATTCTTCCTCATCTCAGTCCTGAATGACTTACTCCTTATTCTTAGACTGTGACCCCTAATTCTAGACTGCCTCAACATTGGGAACGTCCTTCCCGCATCTAGCCTGTCCAGTCCCGTCAGGATTTTATATGTTTCTACAAGATCCCCCTCATTCTTCTAAAAGACATTTCTCATTTGGTATCAGTCCTGTTCTGCAGGAGGTAGATTAGGGGTTCAAGACCCACAAGTCCCAATCTTTGGACGAGATTTTCAACTGAACACCTCTCTGCACATCTTTGATACAGTCATTGAATATCTTTGGTGTCTACTTGAAGGAGAGTGGGGAGTTTACAATGCAAAGTGTGGCTAACATTGACAAGCTCGATTAACACATCAATCATCTCATTTTTTGCTCTGTGGATATAGCCCCATCATTGATTCAGATCAGTAACAATCCTCCGAAGAATTTTGGAATAAATGATGTCCGTCAGATTGCAACTTTTTCTCCTGAATGAAGAAGAAAAATAAGAGCTTTCCAAGTAATAAATGGTGGGGCAGAATCCATCGTTTTAACAGAGGGCTATCAAAATCACTGTGCCTGCTGAAAAGCCCCATCTCCAAAGCACTTATATAGAGACATGTTTGAAAGTGCAACAAAGAATCCACCAGCCAATCTCAATTTTCCAGCTCTCCATCTCTTAGAATCTATTCCATGCACTGATCACACTCTTCACAGGTTAGTTCATTCCAAACAATAGTCTGAAGTGCTTCTTCCAAGCTTAAGTACATTAAGTGTAGAGGCAGTGCTGCATTGTCAGAGACCTGTCTTTCAGATGAGACCTTAAACTGCTCTTCCACGTCAATGTAAAAGATCCAAGGCCATTATTTCAGAAAGGAGTAGAGGTGCTCTCCTAGCTAATGTTCATCTGTCAACCAACATCACTAAAGCTGTGTTTCCCATCATTATCACATTGCCCTTGTGGGACCTTGATGTGTGTAAATTGCTAACTTTCCTACATTAGAACAGAGATTACATTTCAAAAACCTCTTCTTTTAATGGCAAGACTGGGGAGAGCACGGACACAGTCCCCACTACCACAAATTTTGCAGAGGAGTGTCCCACATTTGGGGGACATCAGAGGTGTCAGCAAACCCAACGTGCAAAAGGCTAGCCTCATTCTAGGAGAACCACCTTCATGATCATGGCCTTGCCCCTGCCAGGCAAGTATTTTCACAAATATGCACATCAGCTTTGTGCAAGGGCCATACTAATCTTCAGTGTACCTTTCTAAATTTAGTGTTTTGTCTGTAATCCACTTCAGGTTGTCATAAGGTCATAAATGGTATGGCAAAAATGTTCCATTCTTGCCAAATTCAGGATTTGAGATTGCTAAAGTCCAATATTGATGGACAGACACAATGTGAATCAATTATATGAGCAGGGTTGTAATCCTTACAGGATAGGATGTCATCTAGTGTATAAAACTCCAATTGAATGTGCAAAAGTCGAAACATTCATGCCCTATGAACATCGAAATAAAGCAATGGAAGAGAAACAACAAAGCAAGAAAACAAACAGCGAAGACAGTTAGATATTAATTCAGAATACAATTAAATAGCCTCTCCAGCTAAGAGAGATCCAGGAAAGTGAACCGCTCTTGCTGATAAATAATAAAAAAAAAGACAAGATCTAGCAGCGATCAAACCCTGTTAAAATAAAAAGCAATTAAGCCTCTTGAGCATTCTTTAAAGTGCCTTTCATTTTGGCATCTTGATTGTTTGCAAGAGCAATTCACTCAGAATATAATGAGGACAGTAATATTTCTTCACCTCTACATTTCAATTATAGGAGAAAATTGTAAAATGTCAACTATGAGCAGTCAAATCCTTCTCCTCCATCCTTTTATCCTTGAATGGATCGAATCATTCTTCACTGGAGCGTAGGAGGTTGAGAAGTGACCTTAAAGGTTTATAAAATAATGAAGGGTATACATAAAGAGAACGGAAAGTGTCTTTTCTCTCAGGTGGGGGATTTCAAGACTAGGGGACGTGTTTTTAAGGTGAGAGGAGAAAGACTTAGAAAACTCATGATGGGCATTTTTTTTAAAAAACGCAGAGTGCTTCATGTGTGGAACATTCTTCCGGAGGAAGTAATGGAGCAGGTACAGTTACAATATTTAAAAGATATTTAGTTCAGTACACGCAGAAGAAATGTTTGGAGGGACATGGGCCCAGCACAGGCAGGTGAGACTAGTTTAGTTTGGGATTATGGTTGACATGGACTGAAGGGTCTGTTTCCGTGCTGTATGATTCTATAATACTGATCAATCTGTTGAATAAAGTGTTTGGTCCCTGTGTTGTTCTCTGAAGGTGCTGAGTGTAGGGTGTTCAGCTTTCAACTTTAGAGAGAGGCAAATATCAGGAACTAAGTTGAACGTTAACATTAAATTGGATGATTGACATCATCCATGTAACCAAAATATAGAGTTTCAAATTTTTGATACTCTCAGCTACGAGAGATTTGGACAGTCTAATCAGGCACCGGGAGATACTAAAAACAGCATCTTCACAAGATCTTCCAAATCCAATGGCAAGAACTCAAGTCCACTAGCAATGGCTTCTCCCCAGCCAATATGCACAGCATTGAGGCACCAGTCACGCAATTCACCTCGGCTGGGCAGGACATGATACCTGACATGACACTCCTGAAAACAAAACTATCTTCCATAGGACATAGTCACAGCAGGAGTTAAACACCAGCTAAAGTGGAAACAAGTCATACAGGAAGGGTCTTCTCTAGCCTCACAGGGATAGCACCGTGAAAATCAAGCCTTGATACACCTAGAAATTTTAAAGAAAACAGAATTCCCTAATTCACCTGTCTTTTAGACCCAGGCTGACAGAAAACACGGATTAGGTTTCTATACTTAACCAATTATTGTTGATTACAAATAAACAGACAGTAGCTACAGGTGAATAATTATGAAACGTCAGCATATAACTTCAATAACAAGTGTCCTGGTGTCACAGTGACAGTGTCTATACTTCTGAGCCAGGAGGACAGAGTTTAAGCCCAGAGGTGATTACTAACATAGTAGGAGCAAACTACTGCAGATACTGGAATCTCTATGGAAGATATCTGACGAAAAGTCATCCAGACTAGAAAAGTTAGCTTGCTTTCCCTCCCTGGATACTGCCTGACCTGTTGTGATCTCCAGCATTTTTTGTGATTAATAATATCTGTGAACTAGTTGATTAGAAAATATTTACAACTCCACTTGTTAAAACTCTAAACCTTTATGAAATGTCTCCTTATACAATGACAGGAAATACAAAAAAATGGAGGTTGGAAGGAGAGACTGGGGAGACAAGTGAGTGGTTCCTGTTCTTATGATTTGTTGATCAGAAAGCTTTTTCTTTCTCTAAAGGTTTTCACTGTTTGTTGGGAGGCACAGGGTGATTAGTTCATATTTACAATACTCTCTGACTTATTAATTAACAGTTACAACTAAAGGAAAAATAATCTGGTTTTCTTCAGGCTGAAAGTACATTTTGCTGATAACATCTGAGTGTTGTTCACAGCATAAAGGTGTTGAGCTCCCCAAGAACCAATCACATGCCTGTTGGCAGACGGAGAGCCTTTGACATCAATAACTGAGCACTAGTCCACAGACCAATCAGCTACCTGTTGCCAACTGAACTTCCATTTGTGTACACGCCTCCCCCAGCTCTGCTACATTTGTACCCTCTACTATGATTGCTTAAACCAGCAGCTGTGTAAACAGTCCTTACAATAAGTGTCAGGTTACTTTTTTTCAAAAACATGTAGTAATCAGCAATCCTTGTTTTAAAACAGTTTGGTCATTTCTGTCCACAATTATAAATATAGTAAAACAAAATATGTGTTCTTTACACATTGAAATTAGAGGCATTTCATTACGAACACACAGGCATGAAGTCAAGACAATGGAGATACACCCAACCCTCCAGATAACACACCTACTCCACATGTGACAGAGTCTGCAAATCAGCCATCTCCAAAACCATCCACATCAAACAGGAGCAAGTCATCCTTGATGCTGCTGGACTGACTGAGGAGTATTTAGTGCTCACATTTCTGAATTAAAGGTTTGTAAGTGACACTTACAAGAGAGTTGGGATAAATTACCTGGCTTCTGAAAAAATAAATGAAGTGGAAAGTGATCAGTTACTAACATTACACCATGGATGTTGGAAATCTGAAACAAATACAAATGTACCTGATCAATCTGTGCCTCTTGTCTGTGTCTGGGCAACATGTCTCAGTTAAATTGCTCTAATTGATTGCTAACTGCAGGTCGTATTACACATGTTGTTGAAGAGTTGTACAGATCAGCAGAAGGTCCTGATAATACACATGGCTATCATTACTTAAAGGCAGCCTGTACCTCTTAAAGGGAAAGTGCATCGTGGCTGACATAGTATTATCCGGTCTTAAATTCCCATTGGCTGTGTCTCTCTCTGTCTTCCTAAAAGACAACTTCGCTCAGTTTCAAAGAAAATGGTGGAGTTGTATCTGATCATGGAATCCCTATGTTGAAGCAGACCATTTGGCCCATCAAGTCCACACCAACCCTGCAAAGGGCATAGCACCCAAGATCAACCCCATATCCTATAACTCTGCATTTCCAATGCCTAACCCACCTAGCCTGCATATCCCTGGACACTATGTGCAATTTAATATTGCTAACCCACCTAACCTGCACATCTTTTGACTGAGGGAGGAAACCTGATCACTCAGAAGAAACCCATGCAGACACAGGGAGAATGTGAAAACTCTACACAAACAGTCGCCTGAGAGTGGAATTGAACCTGGGTCCCTGACACAGTAAGGCAGCAGTGCTGACCACTGAGCCACATGCCACCTTTCAATAATATTTATCTCTCAACCAGTATCACAAAAACAGATCATCTGATCATCAACAGATTGTGGGATCTTGCTCTCCATATCATTCTTGACTGCTGCATTTCCTGCATCACAACAGGAATTACACTTTCTAAAGCACGTATTGGCTGCAAAGCATTTTGGGGGCATCCTGAGGTATCAAAGAATGCTATGTGTAAGTGCAAATTCCTTCTTTCTTTATTAAAATGCAACAACTGATCCTTTTATTTCCCATGAGGAAGTTACTGCCAGTCACAGGGGATCAGCTCAGAGTGGAATCTTACCTCAAGCTGATAAAACCAGGGATCTGGAACTGCACTTCATCATGCGTTGGCTTACCATACTTGCTCAAGTAAATCTTTGGAGTCGACTGTAACCCTTAATAAAATATCACAGAGTAAGTTGAGAAGAAAACAATAATGATGTTAAGTAAAGCTAGTCAGTGAAGTTTTTCCTTATATTCCTATTTCTGTTCATTAAATGAGAATTAAATTGAGTGTCTGGAGGCAATTTTTCACAATTATTCTTTAAATGTATTGAAATTATGAGTTATGGGATGTCTTTGCTAATTTTAATGAAAGGCAGACTTGAGCATAAGGACATGTTCAGTGAGACTGCTTTCCCTGCTAGCTTAATAGCACAGGCTGGAGAACAGAGTTATAGCCCTGTCAAGCTCACATTTCCATCAAACCAGGCTGCATTTTTATATTTCCTTCTCATTCTGTACGTTTCCTCTTATGCTTTGTGCCTTGTTGCACTGCCATGAGTTATATTATTTGCACTAACTAACAATGCCACAACCCATTCCACCCATGTCCAAATACCAATATTCATATCACAAACTCTACTATATAATACAGCGTGGAAAATAAAATCAATCTGCGAGTAACAAATAGATTGCAATAATCTTAAAAGTGCACAATTCCCCCAGCTGCTGTATTTGTTGCATCAGGCCTGAGTAAATTGTCGTATTTGTTGCAAATTTATTTAATCACTTTGTGTTTGCCAGATCCAACTCCCTGAAACATAGGTGGTTTGTGTATTCCAGTATTGGAGTTCCTTGCTTCGAACTTGATAATTGTAGGTGATGGCTTTCATTTCCAACATGTATCATGGCAACAGGTGAAAATCAAATTCAAAATATCCAAATAAATTCTGTATCTTTTTCAATACAGCAGATTAAAAACAAGTGAGGTCTTTCAAAAGTATTGTGTGTGTGGGAGGGTGCTTAAAAAGGAAATTAGGAGGGCAAAGACGATCCACAAAGTATCTTTGGCAGATAGAATCAAGAAAACCCAAAGTATT